TTTCAGAGCCATTTCTGGATCTGCAATCATTAATGTTGCATCAGAGATGAAAATGCAATTGTCATTGTTTAAGAATATAATTTTCAATGAATATATGGTTATTTGGGGGGGTTCTCCACATTGTTCCATTTCTCTAATTTTCTTTTAATTCATACAAAGGCCTGATCAGAATGGGTTTCTCTTGTATGCACTCAGGCCATTTGGGGGAAGGCTCGCCCCTGGGTTGGATGAACTAACTAGCTACCCACAGATGAACAGGAAGTTAACCAGCTGCCCAGTTCAACCATAACTTCACAACATTGTCTTCCAGCTCAGAGCCCCATGCCGGGTTTTTCATTGTCTACACCACTCCTGCAGTGATTCCAGAAGTTTCACATAAACCTATCCTACACCTGCATAATTTAATAATTATTATATCAATATTTAATTACCCGCCACCTGCATAATTTAAATCAATTTTTTTTTGCTTGTTTTCTCCATTTGGAGCTCAGGGTGGATGAAGCAGGTGTGCTGAAGTTGAATGTGGCATTTTCTGGAAGATTCCCTCTCTAGCATTAACAAGACCTCACTGCCTGGAAACAGAAGGGAAGCCTTGTGTTTGGGCAATTAGAGCAGGTAGCCCTGGTCTGGTAAGGACCCTTTTAGTGGTTAAGTGGGATGTGGTCTGTGCTTGCCTACACGCAGCTGGGGAAAGTGCACTGTTCTACTAATTACTCACACTTCCTCAACAGCTTCCTGTATGTTTACTCACTCCTTCAGCCCTCTTTCTTCAGAAACCCACTAAACTCAGTGTTCCTGAAGAAACACCACAGCTACCAAACTCCCTCCTGTTGGAGGAATAAGAACAACAACAAATAATTATAAATAGCAAATAGTGCCAGGCACTATTCTAAGTGCTTTATGTACAGATTAACTCATGTGATCCTCAGAACAACCTTGTGAAACCTCAAGTATCATTTTACAGATAAGAAAACTAGGTTTAAAGAGGTTAGATAACTCACCCAAGATCTCCCCAGTAGTAAATATTGGCACTTGGATTTGAACCTGAGCAGTCTGGGTACAGAGATAATATGTTTGTAACCATTGGGCTTTTCTGCCTTCAAAAATGACTACTCTGTTCTTTTTATTTTTCAATCTGTTCTCTAGCTGTAAGCAGTAACCTCCCCTAAATATTAACATGAGTCTCCTCCATTGTGGTTGCATGAACCAAAAGCAACAGGAGCTGAGGTGGTGATTAACCTGGTCCCTTCTCCAGGTCTGCTGAATCAGGATCTCCATGGTGGGGTTCAGGAATCTGCATGATTAACAGACTTCAAGACAAGCTGGTGCCATCAATCTTTGGAACCATTTTTCAATCCCCCGGAACTTTCTGAGTTTTGCCAATCACCCACTGTGCCCATTTCACTTCTACATGTCTTCTGTGGGTACAAATTCTTCTTCTGTTTGAAAGCTTTCCATGGGCAAGCTTTCCAATGTTGGAAACCTGTTTGTGATACGATTTAAAATATAACCTACATGTTCCACTTCCACCTGAAACCACTGCATTCCAGATGTCATGACTCAAGAGCTCCGCATTTCTGGAGTTCACCAGTTCCAAGAAAGAATGTCTATGTTTACAACAATGTAGAAAGCAAAAATGAAAGATTGAAAAATAATGCATCCCCGCTTTCTTTTATAAAAATTACAATGAAATCTGGTTTATTCTTATCTATACACCTACCTAATATTTGAAGGGTCTAAGCAAGAGCACAAATACCATAAGTCAAATGATCAAAACTCTCAATTAAATAGGGTTCATTTTCTTACTTTGACAAATATATCATCATCATGACTTGGAAGGTCTTGGTTAGTTTTCAAGCTCTCCAGATTCTCTGTGCTCGAACATGGATGGGGGTATGGGGAACTGGCCTTTGAATTATGAGCCATGGCTGACCCTTATTTCTTCCCACCCCTGGATATATCTCAACAAGAAGGGGCAGGTGTGCCCACGTGTGGACACATAAGTCTGCAGGTCCAAGTCCTGTCCACACCACGAATAGCCATCTCATAGCCACCCCTCTGGACTGAGAGTGGACACATCAGTGAAACAGTCCATCTTTGGGAAAAGAAGCACAAAAAACAGGCCCCCTAGAAATCAACTGGAAATCAACTCAGGAGTATGTGGCTCAAAAATCCAAAAGCTGCAAATCCAAGTGCCAAAGGAGTAGTCTAAAGGGTAGGTCATGGTCATGGTGTGTGAGTGGGCACCACTTTTGAGCCTACAGCCCTATATGGTGAGGACACAGATCAGGCACAGGCAGTTTGATCATGTAAGGCAGTACAGATCCTTTTAGGAAAAGGAGTCATTTCCAGGGGAATAAAAGCTGGGATATTAGGACAGTGGGGGTTAGGTCCAGAGGCTGATTCAGATTTTGTGGGTCATAAATCTTGTATGTTGTGGAGGACTTGTTAAGAAAACAAATACCTTACTCTTATAATTTTACAAAACAATATAGTCATATGCACAAAAAAATGCTCATTGTCACTTATCATTGGGGAAATGCAAATCTAAACCACAATAAGATATCACCTGAGAATGACCCATATCCAACCCATATCCAGCCAGAAATAAGTGTTGCCACGAATGTGGAGGAAAAGGAAGCTTCCTTATACACTGTTGGTGGGAACGTAGAGTTGTCCAGTGTCTATGAAAAACAGTATGGAGATTTCGCAAAACATTAAAAATAGATCAGCTGTTTGATCCAGCAGTTCTATCCCTTGGTACCCATCTGAAGAATATGTATATTAATAAATTAACTTGGAATATATATATAGTATTATATATATTAGTGTATGCTATATACACACATGTGCGCACACACATATATTATTTACTTATTCCTATGTTCATTGCAGCACTATTTACAATAGCAAAGCTATGGAAAAAAATGCAATGGCAGGAGTTAATGAGATGTGATATGTATATACAATGGAATACTACTCGGCTATTTAAAAAAAAAGGCTGAATTCTTGCCATTTTTGACAACATGGATGGAACTGAGGGGATTATGTAAGTGAAATAAGTGAGTAGAAGAAAGATAAATACAGGATGATTTCACTCATGTGGGATGTAGAGAAAACAAAGGACAGACAGAAGTAATCCAAACAATCCCTTGGAATCCATCTGCAGACCCAAAGCTACCAGTGGAGGAGGGAGGAGTAGGTATACAGGGTGGAGGTAGCCCAAAAGACTGGTGTTAGGGTACTGGTATTTTGGTGATGGGTGTGGTGTAGTAACATACATTTGAAATGCCTAAACCTGTATTTCTGAAACATATACAAGTATCATTAACCAACATTACCTCAATTAAAAAACAAGATGCAGTCATGGGAACCCACTGCTAGAGCCTACCCAAAGTCTTGGGAGAGCCCTGTGCAGGTGAGAGACCCCAAAACCCAAGCTTCATTAACATCCTGATGCATCCACCTCTGGTCAGGTCTCAAGGCAGAATCGTGAGATCTGAAGCAAGCAGGTGCAGCTTGTGGTTAGGACTGGACACAATAAATCTAGCTCAAGGTGGCCCATATCTTTTTCTATCTTCCCTTTGTTGAATGAGTTCTCCCATTTCCTTCTTTTAGAAAAGTCTCTGGGTGGATGAATTCCTTTCTCATCATCTGACTCCAGTCAGAGCAGATCATTGCGCTCACTCAACACCTCCCTAAATCCCCAGGGGCAGCACCCTTTTTCAGCTGTGTTGTAATCATTTTCCCTCTCCAAGCTTCTGCTCAAACTTGTCCCTATGCCTGTGGTTAGAGAAGTGACTGGAAATCAGGAACCCCATGTTCTTCTCCCCTACCAGCCAAGGACTCATTGACCCCCTAGGACGAATTCCTGGGGGCTCTCAGTCTTGATTTCTGACTGTAAAATGGGGTGGTATCGTGAGCATTTCCCTTGGATCCCCATCTGCAGAAGTCCTATAAGTTGATAGATGATGAGAGCTCTTATTTTTTAAAGATTTGACACTCATGTGGAAATGTGATGTTTAATTACAAGGAAGACATAGTCACAGGGCTAAGAGTTCATTTTTTTTAACAACACATTCTGGAAGTCAAGTAAGCTGGAGCTTGCTGGTGCAGCACTCAGCACTCATGGCATGAGAAGTGTTTATCTAAGGAAAACATGCTGAAGTGTGGTTAGAACAAGGGAAGGAATAAAAAGAAGGCAAGATCATTATCAGATTTACTGACACTTAAAGGGAAAAAGGAAACAGAGGAAGATTAAGAGACAGACAGAAAGGGAGGAGGCGATCCTAACAAGAGAAAACAAATAGAAGAAAACAGGGGCAAAAGTTTAAACTTGGATAAAATTTTCAGAAGTGTACCACCTTGACCCAGCCTTGCCCTTTCTCTATTAATTCAAGCTATGATTACGATAGCCTCAGAAATTCACAACTTAAGGAAACTGAGCACCAGGGCAGCAGGTTCCCTCACAAGAGACACCATATAGTTTCCAGCAGAGATGAGATTGCAACCCAACTTCTGCACCTGGAATGAGGTCTCAACTACTCTACATGGACTATATATAACGAATCAGCCTGAGAGAAAAGTCTGCTGATATTCCAGTTTATTAAATTTAAGTGTATATCATGCTGGTATTATTAGAATGTTCAGGTATAAAACTGCTTTCAATAACATTTATTTCCTCATGTAAACTGCTAGTAATTTAGTAAAATACAGAGCTTTTTTTTTTGAAGGATTTATTTATTTATGCATGCAAGAACTGGGGTATAGGCCAGAGGTGCCGGGGTGGGGGGGTGAGAGGATTCACCAGAGACAGAGTGGGGAGCAGAACAGGCAGATTGACTGAAATACACTGCTGAGGGGAACAGCGGGCGAGTCAGGAGAGGTCTGGTGCACCATGTGGATAGCTCCCTGGCTGGGGATCGAACTTGGGCTGCAGTGACTGCAGATTGCTTCATAGGTTGTGTCTTCATCCCTTGTGCCACCAGGGAGACCCAAAATACAGAGCTTTGTACAGAAGGTAAAATATCCTGCCCTCTAGGAAGGAGTTTACAGACTTTGCTGAGGAAACAGAGTCTAAACACATCAAAAGTTGATGAGCAATCCAGACAAGATTGAGATGCAGTGAAATCTTGGCTGGGAGAGTTTGGAGGTAGAGCCATTCTGGAAGCTGGAGATGGTGAGGCTTAAGCCAAATTTGAAACACCAGTGACTTCAGAGAGGAAATAAGTAAGTATGGCCAGTAGGGAAATATATAAGCAAAGACCTAGAGATAGGAAATGTGGGATAGAGGGACAGTGAGTTTACCAATCTGGCTAGATTTAAGAATTTATGTATGGAAAATAGTATGCAAGGATGGAAAAAATGGGGACAGATTGAGGAGGGCAAAATTAAACTTGAGCAAAGGGTGGAGAGACTTCATGCTAGAGGCAAAAGGAATCACAGAGACTTTAGTGATGACATGATGAAAATATACTAATTAATCTTGCTGTGGTGTACAGTAAAGATTCGAGGATAAAAGTGGCAGTGGGAGATTAGTTAGAATGTCTTTCAGGTGTAGAGTGATCTTGAATGGGTTAAACATACCCCCTAATTCTCATTTGCTTCATCCATTTAAGCAGAGTTTTTCTTAATAGAAGAGAAGCAAACTTCAACTGTATCCCAAAGACCAAAATAATGGCTTCCCCAACAATCAGAAGTCACATTCATTGAAAAACTAGAGATGGCCCTGTTGAATGCATTGTTCCCTCCAAAATTCTCCTTGGATGAAATTACTGTCCAAGGGAGTTGCTTACAATATCACCACAGTGATGAAAATGAGGAGACTAGAGTCAGAATTAGCACCACTCAAAGTCTGACCTCAGCCTCCAGCCCCCACCTTCCCCAACACTAACTGCTGCCTCCAGGCAGAGCCAAGAGGAAGTCCACAGCCACAAGTGGCTGTTTGTTTGAGCTTGGCTGGCAGTTCACCAGGGCCAGCCGTAGTCCTTGCACAACCACAAGCGTCAGTTAAAAAGAACAGGAAGGACACCTGGGGGCTTCAACCTTAAAATAAGATCTGTGAATCCCAGCAAAAAAAAAAAACACCCTCTGTGCAAGCTGCCTCTTCATGTTTGAATTACTCTTTGTTGGGGTATTAATTCCTCTGTAGCTAGTGAAGTAAATGCACGCATGGAAGACATTTTAATGGGATGTTTTCTCTTTGTTACAGGTTGCGTGTTTGTATGTATGCATGTATGCACACAAGTGTAAGCTACCCAGCTCTTACATGGAAAGACCAAAGAAAATACCAAATAATATTTGCAACCAGGGAAAAGACTACCCAAATTTACTTTAATCTTTGAACAAACCAAGACATGGTATGTATTTTTCCCTAAAAGATCGATCTTTTCACCCATTAAACTTTTGTTTATCCAAGTGACCCTCTTTAAATTATTCTCTCCATCCTCTGAACTCCTCCTTGTCTTTCAAATTCCTTCCTTGTCTGTCAGCCTGTTCCTCCAAACCTTCCTCCAGAGCATGTTGGCCACATAGTACCTCCTTAGTATTGTTAGTTAACCTCCATAATAATACTAAGTTCCTACTGTACGTCCAACACAGTATAAGGTGTCAGGAAAAACTGGTGCCTATACTCAAGGAGCTCTTTATCCATTAGAATAAATGAATAAACAAAGAGCTGGCCCTAGTAAAACGGGGCCAGGGACCTAATATGGCACACATGTTAAGCATTAGCCTTAGAGCCTGCCTAGAGCCTTTGCTAAGGGAACCACCTTACATAGCTTTCTTTATACTGTATGACCATACTGTGCTCCAATTTAGCTGACAAACCAATGAAGAGAACATAGCCAAGAATACCAATCAGGAGGCCAGTCAGCAGCCTTATGAGATGGCGGGACCCAAAGCAGTTGGCTCATGCAGAGGTGAGTCACTCATTCTTATTTTGGAAAATTAAAAAAAAAAATGTATGGCAGCAGTCAGTGGGAATAGCAATTAATGATTGTGAGGTAGGTGGTGGCAGAACAACCTTGATGGGTTGAGATGAGCCAAAGTCAACCACAATAGCAGCCAATATTTATTGAGTGCCTACTATGTGCCAGACTGTCTTGTATTAGTCACATCTTACAGTTGAGAAAATGAAGACATAGATGAAGTAATTTCTCTTTCCTGGGGTCTTAACCTTTCCAAGACCACTCTCCCACCACCTGACCTTCCTAGTCTACCCTGTTGTAACTTCTCTACTCAAAGTGTGGTCCATGGGCCAGAAGCAACAATGTTAGCTGGGAGTTATCAGAAATGCAGCATCTTCGTCCCACCCCAGACCTACTGAATCATAGTCTGCATTTTAACCAGATTCCCAGATGACTTGTTATCACATGAAGTTGGAGAATCATTTTGTATTATTTTACATTATATTACTTCTCACTGCTTATGAAAACCTGTACTTTTATCATCACTAAGAGTGACGGTTTGATAAAGACTGGAGTTTTGTTTGAATGCCATTACTCCTCTTTTCCCTCAGATCTTAAAACACATGGTAGGCATTTCAAAAATATTAATTGAAAAAACAAATCATGAGTGATTTTTCCAGAGCTGATGGATAGTTGAAACCACTACCGAGGAGTCAATAAGTGACTTCTTGTTCCAAGAATTCCTTCCTCTGGTTTCTGGGGGTGCTGGAGGCTGGTGGCCCTCAAATGAGTCTTTCTCTGGGAATCACCCTCAACAGCCTCACCCATCATCATGTCTCCTTCCTAGGGGTGACCTGCACCTAAGGAAATGTGGGAAGGGGAAAGCAAAGTCTAGACCAGCCCCTCTTCCTTCAGTTTGGAGCAACTCTGTGTGGCCATAAGCTCCAGGGCTCCCTGTGGGGTGCACTGAGATCTCAAGCTACTGCCTTGTACCCCAATTTTTACCTCTGTCCAGGAATCTATTCCTTCCTGTCTCTCAGGAATTGATCCCATTCCCACCCTCCCCCGTATTTTCTGTGTCCAAATATCGATCCCAGAGTATGTTTCCTGGGGAATCCAACCTCAGACCAGTGGATACATGGGAAGGATGGGTCACATCAATGGTGGGCCCCTCAATAGACCCAGGAGTTCCTACTAAAGAGCTACCTTGGGCGACTTCCAAATCCAGAAGAGTCAGTTGTTCCTTCTCTGGATTTCCCAAAGCATGTCACCTTACAGTGAACCTCTATTTCTGTAATGAAAATAACTAGATGAGAGAAGTACAAAGAGGATTCCTAGGAAATACAGTGGATGTATGACTGATTTTAATGCAAGGGATAAAGGAGATTTCTAATTGTGCAGGTCTTGCCGCCAGTACAAGGTATTAAAGCCAGGCAGCAGTATAACTTAATAAGCAATAGGCACAAAGCATCCATGTAATAAGGAGCATAAGGCACCAGAAAAAAAGCATCCAAATATCAAAATTGAAGTATAAATAAAGAAAAATGAATGTTTTTTGCCTATTGATGGCATGAATTAGCATCTGAATTTCAGCCATAAAGTGTACAATGCACTCAAACTGTAATCTCAGCTTCACAAAGTGGGCGAATTAGCCTCAAATAATATCCAAGAGGATTTTTTGGTGACTGAAGTACTTCAAGGATCTACAAATGGATCCCATTCAATAATACTGAAAGAAGAGTTCCAGAAAGAAAGAAAATGGATGAATAAGACAAGGTATCTAAATGATGATCCAATTTCAGCCATCAATGAGGTGTTGTTACCTCATGAATCTCTTAGACACACAGGGCTGAGCATCATCCTCCTACCTAAAATAAGTAAAACTCAGGGAAAAAATTACATAAAGCACAGTCGTGGAGACATCGGGCACCAGACAACAAATGACAATGGGCCCTGAAAGACAGGGAGGAAATGAAGTGAGCTCTATAATCTTCCCAGGGGGTCATGTGGGCCATGGTTTCTAGGCCATGGCACAGGTGGAGAAAACTCCAGGCAGGGCCCCGGGGTTGTCCTGAGTTAAGGAGACAGAGCTGAGAGTCTGGGAAGTCAGAACAGCTACAGTTCTCAGGGCGGACAACCTGAGATGACAGTTCTGCACAGAGAGAGAATTCCAGACCTTTCGAGGGTCCCTCTCAAGTATTCGGTTGAGGACTAACCAGTACGTGTGTGTCAAGAGGTTAGAGGGAAGAGTGCCCAGTAGAAGGAAAATATCAACTTTCCATGAAACACATCTGATCCCATCTAAGAAAACTTGAAAGTCAGATTCAGAAGTAACGTATCCAAGTCTCAGAACAAAGCTCAGAAAAACGAAAATATCCAGTACCCAGTAAGATACTATTCACAACGGCGGGCATCAAATTAAAAATTACCAGGCATACAAAGAAGCAGAAAATGCATCCCATCTGGGTCAGTTGAAACTGACCCAGAATGATACAGATGATAGAATTAAGAGATAAGGGCATCAAAACACATAGTACAACTATATCCCATATGTTCAAGAGACCAGAGGGAAGTTTGAACATGGCTAGCAGAGAAATGGAAGCAATTATCTTTAAAAATCAAACTTGGGGAAAGAGAGCACAGTAGACTGAGGTTTGCACTGAGAATCTTCGGAAGTCTTTGCATGCTCAACCCAGAGAAATGAAAAGCTCAGCCGAACCTCTCTTTGGCTCCTCTATCCATGAGCACCTGTAAGCCCTGGAGGGCTGCTGTTGGGGGCCCGGCTCAGTGGAGGGGCACTTCTGGCTTCCTCCAAAGGTTAGAGCTCAGGATGATGAAGCAAGGCCACCTGCCACAAAGGGGCAGCAGTTCCCTTCTTGTACAGCAACTGGTGCCAGGACGAGCAAGGAGATGGGAGGCTGGGGGACATGAGTTCTGGCCCTTTTCTCCTGCCCACCCCCAAACAACAGTGTAGTCTTTGCACAGTTCACGATCCCTCTCTGAACTCTGGTTTCTTCATCTATAAAGTAAGGATGGTGATGATAACAATAAGGAGGTTACTCATAGTAAAAGTGACGTTGTGGCAACAATTTGATGGCACGAAATGCATCTGCACGTTCTTTGTAAAGTCCACGTTTGTAATTGTTTTTGGCAAACCCCAGGAGCTATGCACCAGCATCTATGGTTCCGTCACATGCTCTTTCTCAGCTGCCACCCCGCCCCCAGGAATCCCTTAGTCATCTTTATCTTTTTATTGCTGTGCCTTGACATTCCTTGGGGCATCACAGTTCATCAAAAATAAGATAAGAGCAAGTAGGACGCTTGAACAACTAAGAATGGGAGAGAAATTTTGAAAGCCTGTTGTTCTAGTTCTCCTTGTTGGTAACAGTGAGTTACACTTGCTGATTCTGTGGGTGGGGATTTGGGCAGCACGCCCAGGGCCCCAGCTGAGCAGATGTGAACTCCTGCGGGCTGGGATCATCAGGTTTCTTCTCTGACATGTCTGCACCTGAATTGGAAGGACTGGAAAGCTGGAGCAGCTACACGTGGACTCTCCATGGGCTTGGGCTTCTCAGAGTTTGACCACTGGATTCCAAGGACTGTCCAGAGAGTGTCTGGAAGGAGTAATGTGTGAGAACCAAGTAGAAGCCCTGACAGTCCACCATGGGTGGAGGTGCCCCCAAGCCCTCCCAGATTCAAGGGGAAGGGACACAGAACCTCCTCTCAGTGGGATTTCAGTGGGGCTCAATGGGAGAAGTGGTAAAATATTGGAGGGCATGTTTTAAAAGCATCAAATGTGTCTAAATTCTGCATAACAAAAGTAACATTTTATTTCATGAAAGTAATTCTACCTTATAACATTATGTAAGTTCAGGTATTCATCGAGAGATTCAACGTGTGTATATATCATATTAAGGTCACAGCTACCCTGCACCATACCATTGTCCCTTTTTTTCATGATTTACACACACCGCCCCCACATCCTTTCCCTTCTGGTAACCACTAATTGATCTTACAGTTCAAAAATTTAGTTTTGTTTTATTTCATTCATCTGCTTGCTGGTTTTCTCTATATACCACATGAGCACTATTTTTTTAAGTAACATTAAAGTGTATTCAGGCTTCCAGGACAAATGATGACCAATGGCACATGCTCTCTGTCCCTAGATGAGCTTAGCCCCAGAAAACCTTATCTTCAATATCTGGGTTATCTGCATCATCAGTACATTAAATCACTCTGCATTTTCACTGAGGATTGCAAATGCAGTGTGGTGGCAACTGTTAGAAGCATAGCATTCAAACCCTCCTATGAAATTATTAACAGGATGGAACCAATTGCAGAGTTACCTTCTGAGCTTAATTCGAACGACCTAGGACACCAAAAAAGAAACTGCTTTTTCCTAAAGTGAAGTGAAAATCTCAGAAAATTTACATGCCAGCATATTTAGACTAGAACTCCTAGCTGCAAGGGCTAGCAACACCCCCTCCAGAAAAAACAATTCCACTTAATAAAGACACAGATGATAAGTGACCTAGTAAAAAGAGGCCTGTTCCTACAGGTAGTAGGTTTGATACTTGTAAAGTTTTACAGAAAGAATGATGAGCCTGTTCTGAATTAGAAATACTTTGGCTTAACATTTATTGTGAGATAGAGAGGGATATATTTGCAAGTAAATGTACCCCCCTGAAAGTTAGCACAAGAGCTTGGGGGAATCTCTGTTCTCAGGAACCTGCCAAAGTCACCCCAAAAAGTTGAGCTCAGAAAAAATGAAGGAAACTCATAAGCTGGAATCTCAATTTGGGGACACCCTTCTCTTTTAGTTTGAACAAAAATATAGCTCTTGATTTAGACAGAAAGGCAAAAATCACCAAAAGTAAAGAGAGAGATGTTGTGTTCCAACATGGTAGGGTAAGAAGCCGCACAAGTGCCTCTTTTAACAAAGAGGAATCAGTGATGCCTTCCAATTTTTATTTATACATGGAGTGCCCGATGACTCAGAAAGGCAACACAGT